TCAAGCAGTTGTCCCTTGGGCACTGCGGTCACGCTCTCAGGTCACTGAGACCACCTCTAATCCAATTTCCTTTTCAGGTACCTCCAGAAGAACCCTTCCTCGGTGTGGGCAACCGGGAAGTGATAACCGCCCTCATACCTCTAACAGCACTCGAGACCACTGTATTCATAATCAACCTTCCTCTTCAATTCCTATTATTCCTCCTACATCGACTTTCAACTCTAAACTTCCTCTTTCGGCTTCCTCCTCAAGTGTCACCATAGCCAACGATTCTAGTGCTCAAAACTCTGTCCCAGGTCTACTGAAACCTCGCTCCAAACTACACATTGGAGCCTTCAACGTACGAACCATATGTCAAATCGGTCAGCAGGCTTCCTTGGCTAAAACCCTAGAGTCTCTTTCCATTGATGTATGCTGTGTCTCCGAAACACGCATACAGGATTCCAGTGTGGTCATTCACTTGACATCACCTCGGCAAAACGGAGAGCCAACGAGATACACCCTCCGTGTATCTGGTGACCCGATGGCCAGTTCTCGTGGACTGGCAGGTGTAGGCATAGCACTAAACACGAGGGCGGAACAAGCACTGCTAGAGTGGCTCCCCGTCAACAGTCGTTTATGTGCTGTTCGGCTAAACGGCTCCGTAAGAACTCGGAAGGATAGGGACACACGTCGTTGCCTTTTCGTCGTTTCTGCCTACGCTCCCACCGACTGCAGCTCAGATGAAATGAAAGATGAATTTTACAGAAAGCTTTCTGAACTTCTTCAGAAAGCTAAACGCTCAGACATAGTACTCATAGGGGGTGACTTTAATGCTCAGATAGGTAGCTTAAACCAAACAGAAAGGCATTTAGGTGGATATTTTAGCATTCCGGCACAGCGAACAGATAATGGTGACCGTCTGCTGCAACTGTGCTCAGACAATCGTTTATTCTTAGCAAACACAAATTTTAAGCATAAGGAGAGACATCGTCTAACATGGCGACCTCCTACACCAAATCAACGATGGACTCAAATAGACCATATTGCCATCAGTCATAGTTGGAGAGGGTCGGTAGAAGATTGTCGCTCATTCTGGAGTACCTGCTTGGACTCCGACCACGCCCTAATCCGGGCACGCATTTGCTTGCGCCCCACTGGACGCAAAAAAGCCACATTAAAAAGACCCATTAGAACTGAGTTGAGTAACGAGAAAACCAAAAGTAGGTTCCAAGAACAACTGAGTTCACAATTAGGTAGTTCTGAAGACGAGGCTGACCCAGATGTTGCTTGGAAAGACATACAAGCAGCTGTGGAAACAGCAGTGACATCTATTAGCGACTTAAACTACAGAGTTACAAAGAACCAGTGGATTTCCTCAAAGTCTATCACACTGATGGGCAATGAAAGCAAAAGAGATGGAAAAGGCGGCCGAGAGTGGGGAGAGTCCGCTCTCCCTCTCGAAATACTCTCACATGGCCACGCGTATATAGCCTCTGCCAGGGAAGTCCTACTCACTGCCTTCTCGTGGCAGGGGTGTTGTTTACGAAAATGAGAGGACGAAAAGCGAATGTCCGGCGCTTTAACCGGATTCCAAACTAATGGTGCACATGGGCTCCAGTATCCTGCGGGAACAAATGGCGTATGAACCAATTGTTGGTCACCGGCTTCCATGGGACTGCATTTCCTTACGATGCTCCACTGCCTTGTGGATCAGACCCTCAGGTCAAAGGCTCGGGGAGTGGCCCCCTAAGAAAACCACCTGCTTCGGTTTGGGCAGCCGGGCAGTATCACAGCCCTCACACATATCAAATGAGATTTGTGTCGCGCATATGTAGTTGGTGCCTCTTTGTACTAATATCTATGTGTTGAAATAAAATAAAATAAAATAGGGAACACAAGACAGACTAATAAAAGAAACTGGAATTAATAAGTCAAGTGTAAGTGAGATTATTTCGGAAAAAGACAATACTCTCATCTGCTCCCAGTCCAGACGTTTAGAACGATGGGCGGAACATTTCAGAGAACAGTTCAACTGGCCTTCAGCTACTCTACAACTACCCTCCATTCCCAGACAGTGTGAATGGAACATTGAAGTAGGTCCCCCGACTCTAGCAGAAGTTCAAAAGGCTATAGTTAATCTGAAACGAGGAAGGGTAGCTGGTCCAGATGGACTGGCTCCAGAGGTCTTTAAGGATGGTGGTCCAATTTTAGCGATTAGGTTGACTAATATTTTAGCTAAGATCTGGGAGTTAGACGTTATCCCATCTAACTGGTCACAATCACTTATCGTCCCAATATATAAGAAAGGGTCAAAATCATCCTGTGACAACCACAGAGGGATTAGTTTAACTAATGTAATATCTAAAATACTAGCTTCGATAATTATCAGACGCCTAACTAAGACTCGTGAACTGCAAACACGAGAGAACCAAGCTGGCTTCAGACCTGGTCGTGGCTGCATCGACCACATATTCACCATTCGTCAGATTCTAGAACACAGGCATACTTATCGGCGTCCGACAATGGTGGTCTTTCTCGACTTAAAAGCAGCATTTGACTCGGTAGTGTCTGTCATTGAAAGGCGTACCCCAGAAGTACATAAACCTTGTAAAGGCTCTTTACTCGAACACTACTAGTCGAGTCAGAGCTTATGGCGAACTGTCATCTACTTTTGCAACCTCAAGTGGTGTCCGTCAAGGCTGTCCACTTTCTCCATTTTTGTTTAACTTCATCATAGACCTACTGATGGAAATAACATTCTCGTCGACTGAATTCTCGGGTATTGATCTCCTACCAGGAGGTCCACTTATCGACTTAGAATACGCAGATGACATAGTCCTGTTTGGTGAAGACGCTGACAAAATGCAGAGTCTTTTGGTAGCACTAAGCAACAATGCCAGAATGTTTGGAATGCGCTTCTCTCCCTCTAAATGCAAGTTGTTGCTTCAGGACTGGTCTGCGTCAACACCTGAACTAAGGATAGGGAGTGAAGTAGTCGAACGCGTTGACAACTTCACTTATCTTGGAAGTCTGATCAGCCCTAATGGGTTGGTGTCTGACGAAATCTCAGCACGGATTCGGAAAGCTCGCTTGGCTTTTGCCAACTTACGTCACCTATGGCGAAGGCGAGATATCCGTCTATCAATAAAAGGACGAGTATACTGCGCGGCAGTCCGTTCTGTTTTACTTTACGGCAGCGAAACATGGCCATTAAGAGTAGAAGACACTCGTAAGCTATTAGTATTTGACCACAGATGCCTTAGAAATATTGCTGGCGTCTGCTGGGATCACCGGGTAAGTAATAGTGAGGTTAGACGCAGGGTATTAGGTAATGATGGTAAATCAGTTGATGAGGTTATGAATCTTCATCGACTGAGATGGTTGGGCCACGTGTTACGTATGCCTGAACACCGATTACCACGACGGGGAATGCTGACTAGTGTTGGGGATGGTTGGAAGAAAGTTAGGGGCGGCCAAACCAAAACGTGGCATCAGTGCTTGAAGACACTAACTTCTAGTCTGAGCCATGTTGGTAGATGCAGACTACTTGGTTGGGGTCCGCGTGACTATCGTAACCAATGGTTCGAGACTCTTGGTGATATGGCTCAGAATCGATCACAATGGCGTAGGTGTATACACTCTTGTCTTCCCTTAAACTAAGAGATTAAAATTGCTTCATATCTTTCTTTCTACGAACTAATTCTTTCTTCCTGTACTATATCCTTATTGCAATCTTTTATATATTACCACCTCTGAATTAACTGCTTTTACAAATCCGGTGTCCATCTTGTTGTAATAATGAGGTATGGCAACTTGGATCGATGCACATATGTGCCTGGTCCTACGTTGTAGCTGACTGACTGACTTCCCAGTATCACAAAACAAGACAGCCTTATGCCGTTTGCACATCGATATTTCCAGCCCTAAAACTTTGCTGTGAATTTGACATAGTTTAACGAATTACTACTAATCCCAAATACACTAGAATTTCGACAAGGAACAATTGATAGGTCGAATTCGAACTGTTCAGCAATCTAAGTTTTAAATTAAAAACACAAACATAGCCAACGTGTGGCGGATGTGATGACAAATTAATACAGTTACTGCACAATTAAACATTTCATGTTGTCTTAGTCTGTTATAATGATACGACAATTTCATTCTGGCTGAGATAAATCCCACGAAAACCCGACTGCTGAGACTATGAATGTGAGTCTGAGCCAGAGAAAGTATGAGTTAGGTTATCTAGCACTCAGTAATTAGGTGTTTAAACTGAGACACAAACGACGGAAAAGGATGAACACACATATTTTATAATTCACTTCAGAAGTGAAAATCCTTCGCACAGTCAAGGATTGAGAATGAGAGGCTGAATCACAGGGCTAGTGAGAAATTGCACATGTGGTAACACAAAATTTGGGTTTAATTTCTGCAAAACTAATTCCATATTATAGTCTTGACCTTGAGTAACTAAACCTGGACTCCCGAAAATGCTGATTCTACGGTATTCCAAGATAATACTACCCTACTAAATTTTTCACGGACCCGAGCTTCCAATTTTGGGGAAACTCTCGAAGTCAAATGACCTTCACCAATGTTTGGGGAATTTTGGGGAAATCCCCAAAGTCAAACGACCTTGATCAAGGTTACACGGGAATTTTGGGGATTTCCCCAGGTCTGGGGAAATTTTGGGTCTTATTTCCCCAAAATTTACTACAGCGGCTTCCCCAAAATGAACCAAATTTTCCCCAAAATTGGCACCTTGTGGAGGTAACAAAATGTCAAAATACGCCTATATTTAGGGATGTGTATTCATCAAAGAAAGTCTTGTTTTAGTGAGATTATTATTCACAAGTATATGTGAGGAGCACAGAGTCGAGATTCTGTCCACTATCTTAATGTGATTATTCATGTGGAATGAAAATATTTGAGTATAATCAAATAAGTGAGGTTTGCTTTAGTTCAAAAAAGCCTCACCGAAAAAAACGTGTGAACAGCTCACATATTTGTGCACTTACTTAGTGGGTTATGTCGATTTGATTCACTTCTACATTTACTATAGAGGGAACTGAGTGCTTCGCCATCATTATGAGTTGCACTATGAATGGACGAGTCGGAATCTTCATCCCTATCACCCTGTTCACCTGAGCAACAGCCTGAAGACATAACCAATACAAACACCAGAAAATCTACAGGCAGTTGTAACGTTTAACCTTTGGTAGGTTTGTACCTAGCCTGAAGGTAACTTGTGTGGTGGTGGAGTGCTAGAAGTAAATGAAGTAACCTGGGAGAAGAAGGAACAAGATAGATAGTGAGCCAACGACTCAACACATATAATCCACTTACATTTTATAACGAAAGCAAGTGATAATATCATAGATAACATTAGCGCGATATTACGGCTATTTGACAACCGACAGGCAACGCTCCGAGGGTATCGTCCACTGATGTGGGTTGCGAGCACTTGAAGGTCAAACTGTCGCAAAATGATTGGTGCGTCACATCGACAATTCGTGAAAATTTTCAGAAGCGGTCAAATCAAGACCTTTTTAGATTTGAATTGAGTTCAGCCACACCATGTCTGGTAACGTTCATTCTCCAAGTAACGAAGACGATGCCATCGTGATGATGCATGATATAGGACGAATCTTCAATGATATTATGTCATCTCGGAGATTTACAAGTTGGGACAATTTTGAGATCTGTTTGAAAGAAGTACATAAGGTAATATGACTTCTGTGGTTAATAATTATTTTTTCAGTATACGCATACTAAGTACGTTATGTCAGTATGCAAAAAGAACAGTGATGATCCATCTCTAAAGTACTTTTTCGTGAGATATGTCTGTACATATGGACGTAAACGCAGTTCGTCAGAGTCAGATGCTTGCGTTCAGGATGTAGATGATGATAGTAATAATCATTCTTCTGAAGAGCATACAACTTCTAACTCGCCAACACAACCTAGGCAAAGGAGATGACGTTGGTCATCTACGTATGCCTTACTTCAAATGAATTTATCCTTCAGGTCGAAATATTGCCATTGTCAATCAAGATTTTGGGTCCGGGCAGTAAATGGTGAGTTGAAACTCACCTCTATTAAAACCGTGCACAACCATCCTTGCACAGAAGGATATATTTCTGTCGATCCATCGAAACGACAGCTGACCTCAAGTAAACGCTAGTATTTAAGAACGTTTCTACTGAGTAACACACCAACTCGTAGCTTACGGTATCTGGTTTCTTGGAAGTTCAATAAACAGCTTACCAAGGACGATATCGCCAGAATGCGTTCACAGTTGTACCCAGGTTTTTGAACTCACGTTGTAATTAATTGAGCTTAGACACTAAAAATACCAATGACATTTTACAGCGCGTTCAAGCAAATACTGAAGTTAAAGTATTCAATGAAAATGGGAACATGTCTATGATTTGCTTCAGCCGCAGAGAGCGAATAGCTGTTTACCACGCGTTCCCGGAGGTAATATGTATTGGTTCGACTTATCAGACCAATAAAGTCGGGTAAGTAACGATTAGTAATAAATTTATCTGAAAGTTTTCCACTGTTCCAGCTAGTGGTGACTGATAGTCTTGGGCAAGGGCACACTGTTATGTATGCTCTTTTCAGTCAAGAACTATGCGAAGATGTCGAAAAACTATTGGAATGCTTTAAAGATATAATGTGCGGTACTTATGATACACGCACTTTCATAATGGATTCGGCAGCGACCGAAATTTCAGCGGTGCAGTCTACGCACAGTCATCCTTACATAATACTTTGTTCATTCCATGTCTTAAGAGCACTTTTCAGGAAGGTATGTGTTAGCTGTACAAATTATTTTCTGTAGTTCCGTAATCCTGATGTACGCAAATGCGTCCATATGACGCTGTAAAGGATCTTCAACGTTTTCCAATTCTTCAGGTAAGAAATATGGTTAAATGTATCGTTAATTCCAGGTTCCAATGTCATTTCGAACTCTTCTAAATGAGTCCACATCTTTTGCAGCTAAAATTGTAGCTGTAAATTATAAACGTGTTCGGACAATGAGACGAATTTATAGAAGGAGAATACATCCGGTGCTACAAGGGTATGATGTATGTTGTTGATACTTCACGTGCATGATGTGCTTGTGAGCGTTTCAATGACTACATGGTGCCCTGTGGACATATTTTGTATGCAAATTCTAAAGATCTGATTCGTGAAGGTATGTGTGTTCCTTTATCTCTATACGTTTTGTAGACTTATTTCGACATAGCAACCGGTGGACAAGAAAATACATAATGGACCTGGTTAGTCGTGCGCTAGACAATATCTCAATCTCTACAGGGAGTGATGATCTGCTAGAGAAGTTCACTAAAAACTACCACTCAATCCATGCTCTTAGTGAACCTTTGGCAAGTAAACTCATCCGTTCATGCCTCGAAGCATCAGAAGACATATGCCCATAAGTGATGAGTTCAATCGGTGCTAATGATGAAGCTACAACGTCAGAATTCATTGTTAGTAAAGACCATAGCCATGCTTCTTGATAACAAGTAGTTTTAATATTGTAATCTTTTAAGTTTTACATAAATCCATTTTGTATGGCCATTGACTTATTCGGTGAAAATCTATTTCATGGACGACCTTTGAACGTATCTTTAAGCGACCTTGAGAACATTAGCCAATCAGAAGAAAGTATGAAGTAAAAATATATTATAAAGAACTGATGAATTACAATGGATATTCTTCTTTTACATGATTTAAGAACTTGTTAAGGTTTGATAAGGGTTCAGAAGTTTTGAAGTCATAATGCATGCGGTATAGGAACTCGTCCATATGGCTCCATAATAATCGTCCTCTGGAGCCGTAATTGGGTCTTAAAAAATACTTCAGCCTAGACCACATGCCTTCAATATTGTTGTCTCATCTATTTCCACTATCTTTCCAACTCCTCCAAATGATTCATGTGCTCGTGTCATTTTCATTGCGCATATATCACGGCAATACTCGTACCACTGAACGGCGGAAGTTTCCGTAACATCTGCAAAAGCCACAGCTAATGTTACTGGAGACTTTATGATCCAATTTGCAACAATTATCATGATTTGTCTTAGCCTGAGTCGTGACCGGGCAAAGAAAGTGCCATTTCGAGCATATGTTTTACTCCAATATATAGTACAACGAAGTATAGTGTCATCACGGTAGTCTGCACATCGTGCTGCAGTCATTTGATTGCCGCGGTCACAGATACAGGAACCTCTTAATAGTCCCATCTGTTGTAGTCGCTCAACAATCACCTCTTCTCTAAAATCTGCTGTAAAACGATCGAATGAGAGCATCTCGCATTGAACTTAGCGCCATAGCCTTGAAATTCCTCAAACACTTCTGATTGGCTCGTCCATAAATTGGAGTTCTACCACTTATTCTTATAGCGTAACGGCAGGGAGTGTACTGTGCAGTCTTATGTGGCTGTGAGACAGGGATGTTGTTTCGCGTTCTTGTGTAATAATTACCAGTTTGGCGCACACGCGATTAGTCATACATACCGTTTACCAGATACTGCTACCTTGAACATGGAGTACCATACTAGTAGTTCGAATTTCGACCTGTCACAATAGATAAGAATTGCCATAATTAAAGGACTGGTGCGTTATAAATGAAAACGTTTATTAAAGTTTGAATCTAGCACAAATGATCCATTAATAAATAACTTCTATTTCTTAGGAATTGTTCCCGTTAGGTCTGTGAACACTTGCGAAGCTAACTGGAAATAAGATAGACAGGAAAGTTATTTCAGTATAAATGTTTACCAGAAACTAGTATAAAAACGGAAACCAGTATTCAATTACAGATCGAAAGTGCATTTAGCACACCCTTCCTTCGGATAGTCAATCAAGCTTATTTCCTTTATCCTTGCGTTGCGCGCCAAACCTCTACCTTCATTCTGATTGGCTCTTTTTTGTATGCTCTTAAATCTGCACCATGCCCCACATTCACGCGATCTGTCATGATCTGTATAGGTTTGTATAATTTGAATGATGATTGTTTAAGACCAATTATTCAGTATCCTTCTGTAATGACGAACGGTATCATATAATTAAGCGACCATTTCAAAGGCGCAATTGTGTCCCTGACTGTCTAATAAAATATCGATTTTTCCTCACACGCACTGCGGCCGATTATGTCGCTGCTAGTCACATTATTTTTATGACACGAAAAATATGATTTATCTAAGTCGGGTGCATATTACAAGCAGTTAGGCGTTGCATCACCAAACTTAGGGTGGCAGATAATTCCCTAAAATAGATCGTTTTGCAAGTGTTTAAAGCAGATGCGGAACAGTCTAGTTTTACTGGATGAACCGTTGTCTAGAGGCGTTGGCCTCATTTGCTCACACTTCCACTGGTCATGAAACGCATCTCCTCCGATAAGTGCTCAGATTTGAAGTAATTCTTCGCATTACATGTCTCTTTAAACCGGATATATCTGTAGTGACTCACATTTATCACGAGAACACGACTGGTTTAATAAAAACAATCATTATTATAATCAACTGTACCAGTGTTTGTTTTAATGTGCTTTTGTTTGACTGTGCTAATGACAGCTATATTGTGCTTCCATTCTTCTTCACACACTTTGATTGTGACTTCGCGCCAATTCGGTTACGTTCTGTAACCAAGCTTGTATTCTGGCACGATCTCAGTATTTTTTCCATACCACGAGATCGCCAGCGAATATATCTCGATTTGGTCCATTAACTGTCTTCTGATATTTGGCTTCTCGGGGATCTTATAGATTTATTTGGTTACGTTCAACCTTCGCCTTCTGATTCACTTGGCAAGTGTTTTTGGTAGCGGTGTTCATAGTTAATCCCAACCCGACGCCACGCTACATATCTTTCTACATCATTATCCTCAACTTTTTATCGGTTTCTCTCGTGAACACTTTGTTTGAACAAACTTGGACCCTAGTGTCACCAAATTCCGTAGTTCCGGAATTTTCTGCAGACGTTAACTAAGTCGAGGGAAATCAGCAGTTAAATTTCCAGAGAAAAGTTTTTTATTTTTAATTACTTTTACAACGAATAAATAGAGAAAATGAGAGAGCAAGATGATGATAGTTGAAAGGAAGTAAAAGAAATGAGGTTAGTAGTGATGAACATATAATTATAATAGACCGAAAGTGTTATGACACAACAAAGCAAATATATTTCATGCAATTAGTCCCCTTTATGAATTCAAATATAGCCAGAAAAAGTATTAATACTAATAATATACTTCTGCATGAGCAGGTACACGCCATTTTCACAGGCATGATCTACAAATCACAACATTTGTTGACGCACAGCATGCTTCCCAACTTATTAAGTTTATAGTTGTTATAAAGTAGACTCGTAGAGCGCTTGCTGTAAACTATGAGATTGAGGAGACGCGTACGTCAAGTTTGTTCCAGACGCCAGAAGTTCCATAGCTGTGCCCTCAGAGCAAGATTTTGAAAAA